ACGGATAATTAAATCTTCGGTAAATTAGGGAAAAGGTCACAGCGCCCGCTTTCTCCCTGTCTGCCGCGCGACGCGAAGGAAAAATGACCGCTAATGAAATTGCGCGTGGATCTCGAGTGGCCGTGCGGTGGCGCGGAAAAAAAACGTTTCGAGTGTGATAGAATTCGCCCGATAAAAACGGCGTATAAACACACCGGATATATTCAAGCGCGGTAGTCACTACACGCAGCGTTGTAAATGGTGTGCGAAAGATTTTTTCCCGATGAATCGAGGGAGCCACGCTCGCAGGAAAATGCGCTCCGCGTTTCAGCGAGAGGGTATTATTCCGGAAAACAATTTTCTCGGTTGAACGATCTCTCTTGGATTAGAAGCGGCGGCAATTAAAGATCAAGTAACATTATTGATCCGATTGATTTTGAAATAAGATGAACCCTACGTAACCCGAGGGATTTTTTCTAACGTAATTATTCGCACTTAGATTTAATATCGCCAGTAGTTTAAAACCAATGATATGTAATTTTTAAACGACCTACATTGGCCCATGTTTTTATTTAAAAAACCCTACACGTTTCGGTCCCAGGTTTGGATCCTTTTCAAGCAATCATAGTTCGACACCATTTTCTGAGGTCGATGGTGTTCAATAACTCACGTTGTAATTATTCGCGTCAAACAATTTTTATTTCTGGGGTCTAGCACTTGGTAGAAATGTATTACTATGGCATCTACTGCAGTGCTTACAATAATGCATTTAGCAATACATTTCTGTCCAGAAACGCTGCATTAAAGCGCGATCATAACCGAGAAGCCGTGTCTGGTGCGTGGGTGCAGCGCGCGCCGTATTTTCCCATACAATTGCCGCGACGATGAAAGGTTGAAAATCGCGCGAGATCCGACCTTTCGTCCTCGTTCTCAAGTTCCTAGAGTTTCTCGCGTTCGCGATTACGGATCAAGCCCACGGCGGGAGGGTAGCGCGCGTCAGCGGAAAATTTCGCCGGGGCTCGCTTGCGCTCACGAGGATCGGTTCGCGCTCTTGTCTCGTGGCGCTTACGATTTTTCTCGAGACGATGAGCCTTTATTTTTTTCGCGGCGCTGGAACTGACAAGCTTGCGGGCTCCAGTCGTTAGCACTGATACAGCTTTATGACGAAAGTTTGTTAATAAAAGTTTGCTTACGGCACCACGCCGGGACGGCGGGACGCGAGGTTGCGGGGTGATGATTTAGTTTTAGTGGGACGACATGGATTTCGTGCCCTCGCTATGCAGATGAGAGACGCGGGGAAAGTTGAAAATTCCGGTCCCATAAGAGGACGGGTATGAAGATGACTGGCAAAGCACGCTTTTAACGAGGTTACGCCTCATTTTGCCGGGCCGTAATATATGCGCCTAGCACTTTGAAGAAATTTTGGATGAAGCTGCGTGAAAGTTCGAGTAATTGAAAGGGAGAGCGTGGAAGAGCGATAGAATTAAATCGCACGTGAAGACAGAGATTCCGAGTAGAGTTACCGGACATTCTATTCTGAGCCAGCAAATCTCGACTCGATATCCTTTTATTTTTAATCGCGCTAGTTTTTGTTTATTCCTCTTGTGGGATCTGACATGGAGGCGGAGCCTCTATGCATACGTCATCGCCGTGGCGCCGAGAAGCCTGTTTATTACAGTGTTAACAGGGTGTCCAGTGGTCAGGGAAATCTGGAAAACCGGGAATTGTCAGGGAATTTCAGAAATCTGGAAATGTCAGAGAAAAGTCAGGAAATTTTGAGGTCTTCGAAGTAACTGTTAGGTTTTTACAAAACCATTTATCTCGAAGCTCTAATTATTATGTATGTATCAAAAATCGATCACGAAGATTTTATGCATTAACTTTTAGAACGCGGAGAAAATATCCCGCAATCCATAATAAAAATTAATTAATGAAATAGCACCTGACTACAATGCCCTGTTATGCAAAGGGCTACTGCTGCGTTCATTTTTCGCCATCGGATGTCATGACTACGGATGTCAGATCCCCCCAATACGGATTATATCGGTCAGCCAACATAATCTTCGAAAGAAGAGGCGGCCCTCCAAATATCCGAAGCTTGATATTTCCGCCGCAACATTTATATTATTCATAATGTATACAGGACGGAAAATGTCAAAATAATATTTTCATCATCGCGTCGCCGAAAATTCATGATTTACCCGTCGCGGATGGAATACCAAATCATGCATACGCTTTCATATTTCACTCGTCGCGCATTAGCAATTGATCCCTCCGCGATACTGACGTACGTACATGTGTGGCGAGCGTTTCTACGCGGCGTTATCAATATTAACGCCCAACGAAATATATATGAAACCTCTCTGATCTTCGATGTAATCTTGGTGACGCCCGATTCCCGCGTTGACGATGAAAGTAACGACGGTGTACGAGAAGAATCGCCAGGAGAGTCCTGTCGGCATCGCGGCTATAAAAAGCGAACGTCCCCGCCGTATCGGGATCGACCTTTAAGGCCATTGCCGAATATTGAAGCTACCTTGGAAACAAATAAATAAGCTCGCGCCGTGGGCCCGATAAATTTCGAAACGATCGCTCGATAGATACAGCCGGTGCCCTCTCCCACACGATAGACCGGTTGGAATATCCACGAGCGCGCGCATGTGAAGCGAGAGAAGAGAAACGCGATCGTAAAGCTAGGTGGTTCCAAAACACGATACCTCTCAATATCTAGATGGAGTAAGAATAGATTGAAATTTTTCTGAAGAGATTGGAAAGTAAATCTACGAAAAGAATGAAGCGGATATCAAACTTGTGTAGGATCCAGAGTTCATGTACAACGGCAGGATGTGTTGCATTTCTTAAGATTTCTTTAATTATCAAAGGCAGAAGCAGCGTATGTGCATTGATTTTAGAAACACAACTCTTGAATATTGGGGAGAAATGTTGCAAGGATTTCGCCGAGAATTTTCCATAAAGCGTAGAATAATTTAATAACGTTGCGGGCCAGTGTAGTTAAAAAAAAATGCATTAGAAGTGTCTCTACGACAGAATTTCGCCTGCTGCAATTCCAGAAAACATGTAAAAATAAAACAGTGCGCGCGCGCGCGCGCGTGCGTGAGAGAAAAAGAGGGAGGAGGGGGAGAGAAATAGACAACTTGTTCGAGACGAAACGACAAATGAGGAAAGCAAATCTAGTGTCAAACGTGTGAATAAAAATGGAAAATTGAAAACGCAATGCAATTATTTTGAATACTACTGTTCAAACAGTTGGCGCGAAATTGAAGGCAGCACGAAAATTGATGGCTCACTGTCATAAGAATAAAATAAATTCAAGTATTTACCAAGTATTCTTATTCATGTAAATAGAGATGTAAAAGCAAGAAGAAACGGCGGAGATGATACAAATTCCGAAACTAAGAACACAGAGGGCAAAGAGAGGACTGTCGTACAAACATTTTCAGTGGCACCGGCTGGAAGGAAACGCCTGGCGCAAAAGCTTTCATCTCGCCGGGCCAGGCCAGACCCGACCGCCTTTGGAAAAGCGCGGACGTGGCGCAAAGAGATTTTACACAGAGCGCAGCGGGGTGTACATGTAAAGAAACGCCGACTATGCACGATTAAGTTTATACGCGAGAAGATCAAGGGTGTAATCCGCGTGTCACGAGTATACACGTGTCGTGAGTGTGAACTTCTTATCCTTTAATAACGAGTCCGTTGCAGCGTTGTAACGCTTGGTTTACCGGTTGAATCAATTCGTTTTGTAGCAAATATGAACGACGTGAAGATAAATTTAATTAATCGGGATGGTTTATCAAAGCTGAAAGTGAAGACGATCTTGTTCCATATATTTTCTATTTCCGCCTTTCCATTTTCTATCTCGGGATTATTATTATATTTAAAAAAATGTAAAATTGAACAATCAATAACGTAGAAATATCTCGCGTCGCTTCGACGTCACGTTAAATATTGTGACATTTGCGATTATGACAGTGTAACGGTATTAATTTCCAATATCAGCAGGTTTTAATATTCAATTTCAATCTCGCGTATCGCTGCGACGACGTATATTGTAACATCGTGACGTGAAAATGCGGGCTTGCGGTATTTAGTTATTGAATGCTTAAATTACGTAGCACAATTAATATTAAATGAACGGCTCTCAATGAGGGAATGGAAATAACGTGTTGGAAGGGAGGGGGGGCGAATTTACAATTCTAAAGTGACTTTCGTGAGGTAACGACCGATTTGCACGAATAAAAGCTCTGCGTTGACATTGATCTCAGGACCCGATCTTCCTATACCTATGTACGTAATCGCACGCGATCCCCCGAGTCTTAGGTGCACAGGTCAGATCTGGCGGCATTGGGATCGTCCATTCCCGGATGCTCCGTATTTCGAGGGGATCGATGCCCAACTGTTGAATATTCGATGCGTCGGGACTATCCATGAGGATAAAACCAGTCGTTAAATAACCGGCTACGTACTCCGGGCACGATCTATCGATTACCAGGGTTTTCTGTCTTGATTCGATTCATGCGGATCGCCGAGCAGCACCCGCGGTTCGGCTCCCATGATGTAATTACGAACATTTTAGCGTATAATTCGTATCTGCATGGTTTTACATTTCATTACGTCTAAAAATACCCGCTCGGAAATAGATGTGATTTCGTACGCATTCCGATCGAGATATGAAGGAAATATCAGTGTATATCGAATAAAACTATTTCCACGAGGTTCAATTTTGTAACAACTAGCATTCGGGGGTTTGAGCTTCATTGCAGGTTTGTCCCCGACAATGAGTAGCGTCGGGAGCAACGTCACCTTTAATCTCATGTATTGGCGGCATCGCGTTGAGAGCTCAATTTCGACGCTATCTTATTAAAATCGTGTTCAGAAGGCGGCGTGTCAGGTTCGGATAAACAGCGCGATAAAGAACCCCGTAGTCTTCCAATAATTCGATATCGTTTTGCATTTGATAAATGGCCTGCCGCAGCCTCGAGACTCGCGTGTGTGACACTCACCTTCTTCATCAGGGACATTACATTAATGTTCTGAAACATCCTGACGGCTCTATTGCGGTCCCGCCTGGTCTCAATGGAGGAAACGGAGGATTCCTAAATCCCAGTTGCGCCTCTCGTCACTTCCTGGTGCTGAGTACCGGCATAAAGGCCCGCGGCTGCTACTGATTCGCGACCCGCCGACCTCGGCTCACAGTACTCCGGTGTCTTTGGATCTACAGGGTCTTGTTTGGCGTAAGCTGGAGCCGTGCGGCTCGCCCTTCTGCCGCGAAAGCATCTCCCGTGATCATTGTCATTCGCCTTCAGTGCGACATCGGCGGCTGCGGTGTGTTGTTGTCACGCGATTCTGAAAATGAAGTATCAACGTATTCAATTACATGCGATTGAGCGACTCGGTGCAAAAGTGGGCCAAGTCTGTCATTTATAACGTTCGCTTTACATACGCCTTGTATACGACTTCGTGCTTCAAATGAATTTGATAAATGGTGGACTCAATCCACTTCTGCTCGGGATTACGAGGCTCGATTGCGATAATGGATTCAATGATCATCAAACGTTCCTGGTTTATTTCGAGCGCGGCAAATAGATTTCTATTTTAAAGGCGGCACTGAGGTTTTCAGAATTCCCGCGTCATATACCACTTTGTAGTTTGCAAACAGTCCTCTCGCGGGCTAGCTACCTACCAGCTTTGAGAGGAATGTTTGGCTGAACGTAACCTCGTTAGAAAGTTTAGACGCAAACAAATATTTGCGCGCGCAAATTAATATCTGGCTTTGTTTCGTCGCACACGGGATGTCAGTTCCTGAGAGCGAGCGCATATACACGCTGCGAGATGATTAATCTTACTTTTCCTAACGGCAGGCCGATATTTTAGGTATCTGAAAGCGGATAGTCTGGTTTCGAAGCACCGACGAAATTACGTTATTCGGCTTGAAACAGCGATAGCGCGAGACGCGATCATCTCATTTTTAATAACTTCGTTTTAACAGTGTCGACCTTATTATGATGCAAATTAATTTTTACTTGGGAGGCGAGCTAGTTTCTCGTAAAACTAATAATTAGTTATGCATTTATAAAACTTGTTTCCCCATATTAAATTATGAAGTTTCGCACGATTGTATCGAATTGTCACACGCGCACGCCTCACGAAAGCATAATTCGGAAAACAAGCTCGAAAATATCAGTTTCCAAAATTACTAATTTAATCGCATGAATAAAACATGGCGTAAATTGCAGCACGTGTTCAGGACAAGAGCTGGCTCTACATCAATTTCATCCGGCGATAGTTTCGAGCACGAACCGCTCATTCTTATATTATAATTGGTAAAAGTCTAAAGAAAGTTCAATTGAACGCGCTCACTTGACAAATTGTTACTGCAATTGTAAAATACAATTACGAGAATAACGTGTTCGGAATTGCGACTTCGAGCGAAAAGTATAATTTCCTGCTAAGGATATAACAAGACTAAGTTTGTTGAACTTAATCAACATACCAACGCGCTGCACTTGTCCTCATTAGCTGTAATTTCAATCAAGGAAATCACCCACGTAGCAACTAGAGCCCCTTGATTCCCACAGGCATAGTTGACCGCGATGGTACTGTAATTACGAATTCAAACTCGAAAACGATGTTGCATCTAAACTAATGATAAATTTGTGCAGACCACGTATGCACGTGCGCGTGCGCGTTATTTTACGCAGTTTTCAGGTGATTGTAACAATTTTTTATATAATGAAGTTCCGCAGGAACGATTGGATCCATACAGTCATTTGGGCTTAGGATCCACACGGATCCGAGCTCACATTGCAAGTAGAGGAAAGTCCCATATTACGAGATAGGCTCCTAATATGGGATAGCGGAGTTTCTGCTAAATTAATAGGCATCGGTAACAATTTGTCAAGTGAACGCGTTCGATTGAACTATCTTTAGACTTTTACCAATTATAATATACGAATATACGAATGAGCGGTTCGTGCTCGAATTATCTGTTGGTTCCACCATGAATTTGTTGCCCTTGGAGTGAAATCTGTTTAGTGGAAAATTAATTGTTAGATCGTGTAATCGTTGCGGAAAAAGATTTGTCATTGAATTTTTATGTTGAAAACCTACTATCTTACATTAGAATTCTATCTCATAATAGAGGACTTTTCCCTATTCATATACACTCTCTACGCATCATGCATAATTGTATACACCGTTTTTTTTGTGGTTGATAATATGAATACTTGCAAAAAGGAAGAGATGATCTAAGAATAAAAACTAATTAACGCCTGGGTGTGTTCGACAGCTGTGATAAATTAAAAATCTAAAAAAAGCAATGTATTTAAGCCGCTCGTTCTGTTCTTGTACTTTTATCCGCAGTTAATTATAATCGTATTATCTTAAACGATTATTATGAATACTTAACGGTGTCAAATAATAAATTTAAATTAATACATTTTTGCCATAGAAGAGAAGAAACTTCCCTCTTTTGCATCATTAATTTATGAAACTTACGATGCGGTATTCTGCAGCAAACACTTTGAGATTATTAGTTTCCTCAATTAAAAGTTTTTAACAAAATGAAATAAGCAATTTAACTAACTATATACATATTTATCGCAAGAAATATTTGACGTCGTACCGTGAAGGAACATTTTCTGCATGGCAGTAAATCGGGGCTTATCAATATCCGTTTGCTAACGTCACGAAATTGGTTTCGAAAAATTATTCAGGCAAATAGAAAATCCCGTTCTTCGCGAGCGTTAATTAAATTCCTCCTACAATTGCGGTCGTTTGGCAAACTTTTGATTTCGAGGCGCAGCCCCGGCGCAGCGCGAAGCTGATTCCACGCGGCACGAAGCAGTCAACTCGTCTCGCCATGTGCGTTTTGGAAGCCGCACTCTCTTCCACATCGCATTTCGCGAATCAGGCAATTAACCTGCCGCGCAACGAGACAAATTTCGGTCGCAACCGAGTTTCATGGTTACGTAAATCATAATAATTGCGATGTAAATGGCTTCGTTAACCGGTCCCGTTCAGCGGGATTAACGCAACGCTGCCGCTTCACCGTCGTTCTAACATCATTGTGGCCAAAATTTGTTATTGCCGGCCTCTCGTGCGGTCAGGATTTTCGCGTAACTTCGCTTGTCGCACAGTTTCTCTCAGCATATATGCAACACTAAAGTGAATACCGATTTTACTTGATTATTCATTAAAAAAAAGGTTAGTCGTTAATTGAAGTGTTTTCAGCGAGACAGCACAAAGAAAATAGAATTTTTTTTTTCAAAGAAAAGAACAAGATAAGGGGGTACAATAGAAAGATAAAACTATAGAGAGAAAAATTTACGTCCGCCCGAGATACCGGCGAGGCTTTCCTGGAAGCGGAGTGAAAAACGCAATCGGACGTGGCGATGACACGATTATACTAATCTTGAGAAATGAAAGGAGAAGTCGAAGAAGTATCAAAGAGGACGGGAGCGACGCGGAAGGAGCGGAGGGTGTCCGAGAGAAAAACCGTGGATACCGTCGAACGAACGGGATGGAACAATGAGCGGAATGGAATTTCAAGCGCCTCGCGCTCGTAATACTCCGGCGTATATTAATTTATCTCATAATGATCCCGTCGTGTGACGCTCCCGGATAATATCCCTCGAACGTGGGCGCCCAGTCGCTCGGGCGACGAGAAACCGGGGGGGGGGGGGAGGACAAGAAGCGGTACGGTATTCGCCCATATTAATTGCCGAAGTTAATATTCGCGTGGGCGAGTACACGATCGACGGGGTCAGCGAAGTGCGAAGTTCGGAGGTACTCGAAAATCTCCGACGGCGTGAGGAACGTGGAGGAACGACCAAGATCGTATCGAATAACACGTTGCCATTTCGCGGATCATTACGCCGGGGGATTAAATTCTACGAGCCGCGTTAATTAGCAAAGGCGTAGGCAGCTCGTTCGCATGGGGATGTTAATGACCGGCGTGTTCACGGCGAGTGGAGACAGCTTCTTATCTAATCGTAGTCAGATACAGATACATTTTATTGATTCCCCCTAGGGTTACAAGGCGTTTTTTTTTTTGAAGGAACGTGCCCAAACCTCTTATAGCACCTCTCTCTATATTCACTTTTCTATGTGGCGATCGAACGAAAAACCAACAATGTTTTGTTTGGTTTTGAACCCGGGTCTTCGGATCACCAGTCAGCGCACAATCCTCTGCGCCACGATCGCCACTATCTAATCGTAGTCTTATATGTCATTATTAGCCGCCATACCGTTTCGTTTCCACCCACGCGCTTTCTACATACTTGCTACTTGACACATTGTCCATTTTCGTACAGGATAGAAATCTAATCCGTTGATTTTTATTGTCGTGGCATTTAATAGATGCGAAATAATCTTCACCAAATAATCCTCCAAATGTTCTTGCAGCGAGCTACCGGTGTCGAAATGGTATTACAAGAGTCGTTTGAAGAGTACAAATGGCATTCTCTTTCGCAAGACACCTCGAGCTCATTCATTTTTCAAAAGGCATGCAGAAATGTTTGTTCAAGTTTGTTATACATAATTAATTATAAGATGGAACGAGTTGGGACTTTCGTGTTCATAGGAGGGTTGGAACTTTCTGTAACATGTGAAGTTTGCGGCGCGAGTGCCATTTTCACTTCATTCCGAGGACTCTTCAAACGGTCCTCGTACTATTGTGTATTAATAATAAGAGAAGTTCTAAACAAATATCTAGGTATTGTGAGCGAAACGCAAAAGCGGCATCGCGTAGCGTTGCGACATCGCAGCACGCAATATCCGCGATGGGCGATCGCCTCGGAACGGAACGCAAACAAACCACCCCCGCAACGTGTAACGAACAACCCGGTTCGAAGTAGTCTCCGATGACGTACGAAGCGGAGACAAAATTATCCTGACGAGTAGATCGGTCATGCTTGTCCTGCGCTCGGAACGAGTTCACCATGATAGGGACAAGGACACGAACTTCAGCCGCGTCCGTTCTAAATGGACGTCAAATGCTTGTTCCAGATGCAATAAAAAAAAAGAGAAGTTATTTCTACTTTAACAATTTATGCGATATAATGTCTGGAATATCGAAGCGAGTATTTATGCGGTCTATATTTAACATAAAATACGGCGGTCTGATATTCAACCTGAAATAATATACGATCTTCACATGAGGGAAATAAGAAGATACGCGGAGACCGTATTTCGCGTTAAATATGAGATGAAGAGTATATGCGTCCTAAATTTGCGGGTTTTTCGATCCTTTTAATTTTACCGCACGGAATTTTTTTCCCTTGAAATATCGAACAGTTTCTTACGACGTTATACTTTCCGTCAATTATTGCCGGTTTAGCGCTTAT